GGTCAGCTGTGGAATAAAAGGAACTGCTAAAGTTTAAACAACTGTGTTAAATCATTTTCATTTATTCAGAAGCCACACCGTCGAGAATCGTGAATTTTGTTCATAGCTGAAAAAAATCTTAGAATACGAAAACATTGGTGAATGCCACAAATTCTCCTAAATCACTCGTACGCACAACTTAAGAACAAATCTGTGCGTACGAACGGTTTTTGCATGAGGCCCAATGTTTCTGCATTTGTTCTTTAACTTGAGTCTAAAGCCTTTCCTCTCCCTACATCTCCCAGAATGCTGTGCAGTTCCGGATCAGAGTTCAGTGAAATGATCAACATTCCATCAGACATATTTTCTATTGATATTGATCACGTGTCTGTCATGATACATATCATAATTGTTTCATCGCTCAGCCCTAKCTGCTTCCTTTAGGATAAGATTTACAGTGATCATATATAAAACTAGCTGTTTTGTGTATTTTAAAACAGAAACAAAGACATTTTGCACACCGTGAGCTGATAATTATGACGTTATAAAGTGCGTCTCAAAAAACAGCCCAGGCTTTGTAGAAGTAGAAGTGAGAGAGTCAGTTTGCAACGGCCCAACGTGACGGTAGAGCTTGTGTGTGTACCTATAGAGTCCGGCAGGTGCTGCAGCATGTTGGAGGACATCAGCAGGTCTTCTAAGGCCTCGCAGCCTGAAATGTCACTATCTAGCGTCTCAATCCGATTTTTCGCYAAGTCCAAGTACCGCAACTGGCGAAGCTTCCCTATTGCCTGTAAGAGTAATAAAGAAGAAAAGAAGAGAACATTGTAACGACTGACGCTCATCTTTTTTCCGTGTGCGAGCTGAAAGTCTCCTTACCCCAGGTATAGACTGTAGAGAGTTGTTGTCCAGCCACAGCTCCTTTAAGCTGTGTATCTGTTCCAACACCTCTGGCTGACGTGCAAAAACAAAAYGCATACGTTCATGTACAACATACATAACAGAAACATCAAGATTTGCAGTTATAGAACTATTCATTCAATACCCAAACCACCTCCCTGCATGAGCTTTCAGACAGTTTTTACTTCATTTCCATCAAAACCACATCTTTTTTATGTCTTTATTTTTAACCAAACTACAAACTACTTGTTGCTTTCGATGTTGCCTACGTTGCACTGCTCCTTTTGGATGCTTGCCCTGGCTCTTGTATTTTTTTTTCATTCACTTCTATGTAATTTAATATGCTTTAATTACTAAATCAAATCTACCTCCTGTGTGATCACAAAGAACAATTTCAATTACAAAAGGCCTAAACCCTTATCAAACAGCGATCACGCTGCGACGCAGAGCAAAGATGACCTTGTTAAACTGACATTTCCTGCCTTTGTTCTAATAGAGGAGGTCCAGTGCTGCAAACATGAGGGTGACAGCAGCACGTTGGCCATATTTGTGGATCCTCCCACACCGGCTGAATGCATTGAGCACACTGATTGGTTCCTGCATCTACATCTTCTGATTCCTCAGTGCTACAACGTCAATATACAAACAATGAAATAAAAGGGGCATGGGTTTTTGGGTAATAATTTGTGTATAAAATTGTATATATCATTTTTAAATAATCTTTATGTTTCTTAACCACTTTTATAAACATTTGTGCATGTGTTTCATTAAATTCTTAACAGTGTCCGCACAGAAAACAGTGATAACTTATAAACAACCATTAATCTCACCAGTTCTGAGAATTCATTGCTACCCAGATCCAACCTCTCCAGCTGCGTTAGTCTGTGGATGGACCTAGGAGGAGAGATTTTACACAAATACACTTAAACCCCTTTTTTAATGCAACAAAATGCACACAAAATACAATCCTTATAGTATGAAAGAGGATTTGGGCCACAGGAAAAAAAAAACATACAGTATTATGACTTTGACTTTATTCTCAAATTTCTGAGAACAAAGTCAGAATTTTGAGATTAAAGACAAAAAAAAGTTATTATTATTTATTATTGTTATTTACTACAAGTCAGAATTCTGATTTTTTTTTCCTGACTAAACTCAGAATTTTGAGAAAAAAGGCAGAATTTTTTAGGAAAAAGTCAGAATTCTGACTTTAAAGTCTAAACTCTGAGAATTTTGCGACTTGCTGACATTTTTTCCTCAGAATTTTGAGATTAAAGTCTGATTTCTGACGTTTTGCAAAATTCTCAGAATTCTGAGATCAAAGTCAGAATACTTTTTTCCCAGTGGYCCTGATCCTCTTATATTAATAAGTTATGTAATATATAATCTTGTATTACTACTCCAAATATATTGTCTGCTCCTAATACTATATTTAATTCTGCATTTTATTATATTTTTCCTTTATTCTTTGTATTTTCTTCTTTTGTTATATTTTATACCTACTGCACCTTTACACTGAAGCAAATTCCTAGTCTGTGAATCCTGTTCATTGACAACGGCAATAAAACTGATTCTGATCACAGCGTGTACTGTGGATATTACTTTAAAATAAATTCAGCTTAGGTGGAGCTGAATAATTTATCCATATTCAGAAAAAAATCAAGCATAATGAGGTTTCTATCTATGCTAATTGAATTTTGGTAGCAACAAAGAAAAAAGATAGAAAATTAACTTCAATATTGACATTTTAATAAGTTAACAAGTACTACACATGAGATCCTGCTCCATTTCTTTATTGTGAMATATGTTAGGACAGTAAAACGTAACTTATTATTGTAATAGAACATTTGAACACTATTCAAGCATACCTGCCAGGGACAAACACAAGTTTAATCTGGACACCAGTCACACACAAACACACATATGCTGAGCTGCCTTACTTTGGCATTGTTTTTAGGTGGTTCTCTCTCAGCTCCAGAATCCGTAGTTTGGAGAGTCTGATTAACAGAAGGTACATAAACCTACAGTTAATTATTTGTTCTTTGCCAGCTGCAACATGTATGGGGAAAAAAATATTTAAAAAATGAAATTAAAGTCTAAATATCTTTAAAATCGTTGTCTTAGAAATGCATTTGTCTGATAATCTTAAATGATTTCTTAGAATTAAAGATGGAGATGCTTTTCAAAGAATATTACTGTTTCAAAGATTTAAAAAAAGGTATTTAAAGCTTACATTTACGAAACAAAAATTACTTTTAAGACAACAGTTAGCCACAAACTATAAAGGCCTTATGTGATCCCTTTCATCAGACTCTTTAATATTTAACCAGCGCCACTACGACAGCAGAAAGCACATGCATCATTTCACCTGCCAAAGTTAGCGGGCAGATACTCCAGGAAGGCATCGTTTAAGAAGAGCTGGGTCAGATTCAGGAGCTGCGTGAAACCATCTGGGAGTCTTAAAGAGAGAGATTCATAAAGGAGCAAAAATAATTAAAAAGCAGGAGGTGGAAGTGGGAGGGAATCCTAAAGAAAACAGTTTTTTTCAGCTGCAATGTCTCCATAAAACCCAYTGCAGAAACATGGAACCGCTGTTGGCCAGCAAATGACTCATCCGCTGCACAAAATCAAGCCGGCACCAGAAGCGTTTCTGTCTGCAGCATTCTTTGCATTGTGGTCGTTACAAAGAGGAAAACAGCAATTACAAATGCACACTTGATGCTCAAAACACAACYGRAGCTGCTAAAAAYGTGCAGCTCTCCACAGTTTCACTCATCACTGATCCCACAGTGCAGGACTAAATGGGACACAAGTGGGYTTTAGGTGTGTGACATCGTTTGTACATGGAGGCAGCTGATGGKAGGAACTATTTAAACTATTTAGCATCCTTCTGTCTGTTTTACACAAATATAGAGTTATTATGGCACGGTATGAGGGCCAAAATTAAGACTATTGTTCAACCGGGGAAAGTTTTTTTTAAAAAACAGTTTGATAAACAGTGTCTAATAAAGTAGGTGAGCAGCCTAGGCATGCTTGTTGCTAGCCTCTCCGATGCTAACGCCAGCTTATCCATGCTAGCCGCTAGCCTCTCCGATGCTAATGTCAGCCAATCCGTGCTAGTCGCTAGCCCCTCTGATGCTAACACCAGTCTATTCGTACCAATGAACAGTGGACAAAGTTGGCAATCTAGTGGGTCACTGGCCTAGGTATGCTAGTCATTAGCCTCTCCGACGCTAATGCTAGCTTATCCGTGCTAGTCGCTAGCCTCTCCAATGCTAACCAGCTTATTCATGCCAGTGGACAGCTGAGGAAGTTGGCAATCCAGTGGGTCACTGGCCAAGGCATGCTAGTCGCTAGCCTCTCCAATGCTAATGCCAGCCTACCCATGCTAGTCGCTAGCCTCTCCAATGCTAACACCAGCCTACCCATGCTAGTCGCTAGCCTCTCCAATGCTAACACCAGCCTACCCATGCTAGTCGCTAGCCTCTCCAATGCTAACACAAATGAATAGTCTCCTCATTTGCCAGCGCCGGCCTCTCATTTACCAGTGCCAGCCTATCATCAATCAGATCAATAGCTGGCTTAGGAATGGATATAGCCTCCTGCTACAAGGATGTAGCCACCACTGGTACATCTTAATTTTGGCCCTCATACAGTGCCATAAGATATAAATAAAGGGTACGGACAGGTTTTAAAAACTCACGTACTGGTCTGTTGGGCTCTAACAGGAAAAAAAAATCCATTAAGATCTTGAAGTGAGTTCAGGTTCAAACAAACTGGCTGGTAAAAATGTTCTATACGCACTTTTCTACTTCAAAGAAAAAYGGTCTTCATAAATAAGTCAAAATAACACTGCATGGGAGAAATTAATTTTAGGCTTTTTTAGTGAGTGTTTTCCCTCCGGCTGTTATGCAGAAACTTAAGAGTAAGTTGCATATGTATATACAGTTTATACATATTTTTCCCCTGCCACTTTCTAAGCGGGGTAAACAGAATCCTGTTCTGGGTTTAGTTTTGTGTGTTTTGTGTGTTTAGAGTCTTACTTGGTGATGGGGTTGACACTAGCTTCTACCACAGACAGGCCTTTACAGCATTTTATGTTGTCTGGAAACTCCTGGATTCCTGTTGGAGACAGTCAGTCGGTTCAAGGAAACGYGGTGAAGAAAAAATATTTATCGTTGCTAACGTTTTGATGGCATCTTCTACCATTTTTACTGATGTCTAACTCTTTGAGGTTAACCAGGCTGGCGATGGTGGTGGGAAGGTTGGAGAGGTCGTTATCGGGCATGCTGAGCTTCTTCAGGGCCTGGCAGTTAAACAGTTGCTGCAGAAAAAACAAAAAGGAAACACAAAAAGGGGATATTATAATCTAACGCAGTGTTTCCCAAAGTTGGGGTCGGGACCCAAAGTGGGGTCCCGAAACATCAAGGTGGGGTCC